GCCGTTGTCATGGTTCTCTGATTAATCAAAGCCAAATGCCCCAATTGTAAAAAATTGAAACCCTTACGGGAAATAGTCGTTTTTTACTCAGACCTCCGCACCATCAGTGGTAAGCAATGCCGACAATGCCAAAGACCCAAGCCCCAAATAAATATCGAATAAGAATTATCAATCAAAAAAACATTTGCTCATGAATTACCGAATAGACCGCAATAATTATCACCAAAAACCCAAATCTTCCATCATTTACACACCCCCAGAAGTCAGTCAGTTTATTTTCAATTTACTATCTCCTCATTGACCGGACAAGAAAAAGACCATCATCGACCCTTGTTCCGGGATGGGAAGTTTACTAAAGCCTTGAAAAGATGCTGGTTATTCAACCCTCGGGGTTGACATTGATAAGAATTCTACGGCTAGTTATAAAGGAGTTGATTTTTTAAAGGACGAGCTGTTCCATCCTCCTACGTATAAGCAAAAGAAAAGAGTTGAAGACAGCAAACGCTTATTTATCTGCAATCCCCCCTTTAATAGGGCCAAACCTAAATTAGCCCCAGAAGTATGACTAGACAGAATAATTGAAATTTTTGGCAAGGAAATGCCTATCGTCTTATTTGTCCCCATGGGCTTTCGCTTGAATCCTAAAAAGAACGGGAAGCGATGGGGCAAATTCATTAAGGATGCTTACCCTCCTATTAGTAGCATTATCAGTTTACCTCGTGATATTTTCCCGAATGTAGAATTCCACAGTGAAATCCTCATTTACAACCTCCCCCATTTACAACCCCATTATTTTTACCATGGAAACTAAATTCCAATACGACTACTTAAACAGCCAATTATCCATCCTAAAACCCGACACTAAATACATTTACCAAATCCCCGAAGAACATAAATTCACCTCCAATTTTGGCGGCCATGGCTTCATCCTGGGAGAAAGTAGTTGAATTACTTTTCAGATTTACACAAAAAAAGTGCAAGTATTTGCCAAATTCTCCCAGAACAGCGAGGCTATTTATTACCGCCATGACTTCGCCAAAGCCGATATTATTAATTTTCAATTTACCGAGACCGATCAGGTGAAAAAAACCAGCAAAAACAAAAAAACTGACTAGAAATTTATTTTTATGCTCCAAATTAAAACCACCATCACTGACATAGAAACTAAATCTGACAAAAATAATAACCCTTACTTCCGCCTTAGTTTACAAGGCTTACCCGGCCGTT